CAAAGAGGACAGACATTGTAATTACACTCTATTACACTAAATCCAATTACCAGGGTGACTTTCCAAACAGGCCCTTAATAACACCCATAGTCCTAGATGTCAAATCGAAAGCGACAACCGACTCTTCTATGGAGTATATAACATGTTATACATTGTCACTCCATATAGGGCAAATCCATCGGTGGCCACCTAAAGTTGACACTAATTTTCACTTAGACACATTAACTAAGCTTCGTTCATTTTAGACACCTCATGTCATGTCCTGTTGTGTCAATTTGACACTTTCTGCTAAGATGGCATAGCAAGTGTGATACACTCAATGGACGCGCGTGAGAGCCTCATTTTACCAAAAAAAATTCTTCTTCTTCTTCCCCATTTTTTGGCTACCATTTTCCAAGCTTAAACTCTTTCCATGGTGAAATAAATTTGACGATACCACAAACAAAAAGTGAATTCTAGCGCCCATAAATTTTAAGCTTAAATACTTTCACTTATTTTGTGTCCATCTTCCTCCTCAAAATAATTTGATAAAATCAACATAAATTTCAAAAAGAAAAACACACTCAAAAATGGCAAGAAATCATATTTTCAATTATCAAATCCTACATTCACAACAAACAATTTTAGCATTTCAAACCATTTGTATGCCTTCTCACATCATAATCACAGAAAAAGTCCAAATCAAATAGATAAGCTATATAATTTTTAGTAGAAAGTTTGGGACTCCATATTTATGTACCAAAGAACCAATTTTTGACTTGCATATTGACCCAGAAATCCAACAAAAAAGGAAGAAAAAAAAACCCAAAAAGGCCAAGCAAATGCATTACCACATTCACCAAATCAAGCATTCATAATAGAAAGACGTTTTTATCTCACAACATTCACAAAGTGACAAAAACAAACAGTGGGTAGTAGAGAAGACAATTTGGGGGTGGTGTGGGTATAATTTTCTTTTTATTAAAAGTGGTTTCCATTTTAATTATTTAGTTAAAGAAATGTCACATGTCAATGAGTCATTTGTAATTTTTTTCCTACTCAAGATTCATCATTTAATAATTATTTTTTCTATATATGCCACATGTCTTTATTTAATTCGTCACTTTGACACGTCATCAGCGCGTGTGTTACACACACCTTACAAATTTGGCAGATTGTCGAAAAAGTGTCAAAATGACACAGTTGGGCATGACATGAGGTGTCTAAAATGAACAAAGTCTAGTTAAGATGTCTAAGTGAAAATTGATGTCAACTTTAGATGGCCACCGATGGATTAGGCCGTCCATATAATAGATCCTACATGTCAAATGGAAAGCAATAGCTGACTCTTCTATGAAGTAAAAAATAACATTACATACATCCATATAATTGATCCTACAAGTCAAATTGAAAATGACAGCCGTATAGAATTGTGCATACTCAATAAATATTAACTAAAAAGATGTCAGATCCTTCTTATTGGCGAAACACAACTTCCATGAAGGTTCCTAATAATCCCAGATATAGACCATATTTCACACCTTCAAAAATAGAGTACAAAGGGTTTATATGCACCACCGTCTAAGAATAAATTTTTAGTATGGGTTTCAAATTTGTCACTAAATTCAAAAAGGTAAAAAGTTATTGACATGTTATGTGTTTGAGTAATATATTACTATTTTTTTTACTTAATCATAATTAATTAATATCTATTACGTTTAACCTTTTTGAAATCTCTAAACACTATCAAAACATTCGTAGAGACATATTTAAAATTCGAAAATTAATAAGTTTTCAAATTAATATATACAATAATAATTGACATCATAGTATAACCCTTACAATTACCATTACGAAATTTCACGAAAATGCATGAGATCTTTAAATTGTCAAAAGAATTTTTTCAGGGATAGAAGGAATAATTATGTTTTAGTTGATTTAGTTGAGGGGCGGTAATGGTTAATAGGAAAGGAAAAGCTGATCAAATAAACAATTAATAAAAAACACAAATAAATAAATAAAATAAAATGCTAAAAAGAAGGTGAGAGTGTGGGGCTGAACGGTGATAAACTATGCCCCATCACTAACACACTTTATGTCAAAATTTAGGGTGTCCTCTTGTTGATTTTTTCTTTGTCCGAATAGGTGCCTTTGTAAAACGTATGCATCATGAGTTATTATTGAGGTGAAGTGAAAGATCCACAAACAGTTTAAATTAAACGCCCTGCTGGTTATATATACAGAGAGAGAGAGATAGGTACACATTATCTCCTTAATTACTTGCAAGTTTTGTTGTATCAAACTTTGCTCTTTTATCAATGGCGGAGGCTATAAATCGCAGAAGCAGTTATGCCCATGGCCGAAATGGGCAGATCAATTTCACAAGTATTACCATTATTAATCATATTCCTCATCAACACCACTACATCTTCATATCCCCTTCTTCTTCTTCTTCTCAACGCACAAACATACTAATCGCTTTCATTTTCCCAGCTATGGTTGAGCTTCTCCAACTCAAGTACCAACCAACTAATTCTTCCCCTTTTGAAATCCATCCTATAAAAATGTATTCCTCTGTCGGGAGTTTCCTCATTTATTCGTTTGCCTACGATGCTCACCTCAAATTAATTTCAACTTCTTCAAATCACTCAAACTATGCTAAAATGGTTGGGGCTATATCTGGTCCTCTCGCATTTGCATCTTACTCGTCTGTTCTTTTCCCTCCATTTTCCTCTGTTTTCTACTCACTCTCTATCTTATACTCTGCAACTCAGTTGCTAAACAGAACACTACTCCTCCAACGATTGAATGTGTTTTATCATAAATTTGTGAATTATTTAAATGAACCAATAACACATCGAGTGTAATTCAAAACTGGCGAGAGTGGTGTATATGCAGATCATTTATCTTTGCCTTGCGGAGGATAGAGATAGAGAAACTGTTAAATCATATACTCGGTCAATTTAGTAACTACTTTTCTATTACGCACGCGGCACGTGAATATTTTGTAATTTTTTATTTGGCTTGTAATAATATAATGCTATAGTTAAAGCCTTTCGAATGATTGGGAACCTATGGTTTGAGCTAGATTTGGACTGACAAAATCTAAGCTCACATGAGTTGGCCCAACTCATTATCTTAATATTACATTGTACTTCTGTTTTTAGATATCTGAATTTGTTGATGGTTTGTTCAGGGAATTTTATTTGAAAAATTACCTAAATTAGATATAATTCACTTTAAAAATATATTATTACTATCTATACTTTTAAAATATTCCATATGTTATCATTAATTGAGAGATTCCTATCATATATCGAAGAAAATATGCTTAGATACATGTATTTGTGCTACCAAATACACAAAAATAGGGAGAGAGGTGAGCAAGATTCATATGTATCTCAGATATATATGAATCACACCAGATATATACAAATACATGTACCTGGTGTGATTTGCATGTATCCGAAATATGACGCGCAAGATGGGAGAGAGGTGAGCGAAATTGTTAACTATCCTAAATTCATACGAATCCACTTGGATACAATGTATTTAGAACAAATTATACCTAATTTAACCCTATGTATCCGAGATACATGTATCTGGAAGTATCTGAAGGCACCAAAATCCAGTAAGATACATAATATTGCAAACTAAAGTGTATCTATATAATTAACTCTTAAACTATGAGATTTGTGTAAGTTGCTCGATACGAAAAATGAATTTTATTAGTACGAGTATATATATATATAACTTGGGGTCGCACAAAATCTGCACTAAAACAACTAAAGACATTATGATAATTCTGATTTCACACAAAAATACACAAGAAGAGAGATATTTAATTAAATTTATTTTCTCTGCTCCATACAGAAGGACTGAATTTGAAATAACTTGTAGTAAAATTTCTATGATCAGCTTTCCACGTGTGCGAGCATCAGCAGTCTGCTGATCAAATTTCAAGTTCGAGGCGATGAGACAGTACTCACCTATGATACATATGTAACTTTTAAGCGCTCTTCCAAATATTCTCCCGCACGAATTGGAGGAAATCTGTGGAAAATCAACTTCAGATTATCTCCATAGTACTATGATAATCTACCAGCAGAGAAGAAGTGATGTGAGACATAATAAGAAATCATCATTGTCACAATTAGAAGCATTAGGGCACGCCTTATTTATCTTGATTGGTTTCTTTATGAGAATTCAAGTGGCCGATTTCTTGGAACAAGTCAATCCATCTATGAGTTTGTGCCCCTGTGAATTCTTTACTTATTTATCTTTTTTCAGAATATAAAGTCCTCATCCCCACTATTCTCCCTCTTAGTTTGGGAAGGGGGCGGGGGGCGAAGTGAATTTGACATCCCAAATGCTAAAGAACGAAAAGGTCTATCATCACATTATGGGACCTGAAACTGGTATTTGTTGCAATGAATGCTTGAAAGCGTTCAAAATACTCAAATCTAAGTTTGGTATGCCGATTTGACGATTCAGCAATGACCAAAATGTGGGACACCATATAGGATATGAGGAAGGAATAGATTGGGAATAAGGGATGAGAGCTCATGATAAAGGTTGATGGTCGAACAGCCTATTGTAGTCCATTTCTAATTTCACCCTTTTTACTGGAATGGCAGTTCCAGCGAAGGAAAAAAAAAAAATACGTAGCATTTTTAATAGAGTGGTATCAACTACTGAATCAAAATTATGAAGGAATCAAGAAATCCCAAGCATCAGAAAATATACCAGAACGAAACACTAGAAATACCTTTCCGTTGTGGGATCATACATTTGCATCAAGTAGGCCACAAGGGAAAAGCCTAAATTTTGGAACAAAAAGAGTTTTTGGAAAAGACGTAATTTCAAGATGGTATATTCTTTTTGCAACTTCAACATCCAATGAACAATAAGATCAACACCACGAAATGTTAAATAGAGAGATTAAAGCTTTGACCAAGGTCATCAACATATTTTCAAAATGCAGAATCCAGCTCAAGACTAGTACAAAATTTTGCAAGTACCTGGGAGGAGATGAATCACTACAGCAGCTCTTCAAGCATTCCACCACACAATCTGGATTTGGATCCAAAAAGAAAGCCATCTACATGTTGCAACCGATATTTTGTTAGCTTATGTTGCATCGTTCTAATGGCAGAGGAATGAAGAGTCTAGAGTGTATTTAGAATCCCACGAATTGTTCATACACTATGAGCTAGCATTTGGCACGAAATGAGATACATTGCATGATGCCAATCCATAAATACAACAGAATAATAAAAAAAGACATTCTTTTAATTGAAACAATTCACTTTTCAGGATTGTCTTACAAATTACTTTTTAGGATATCTTATGTGAGAATATGGAAAAAAAGGATTCGCTCATTCTTTCACAATGTTTACAGCTCTTGGTTAGTTGCTTATGAACATGTTGTACTCTACACCATTATTTAGACCATAACAAATAGCTTCCTCTTACAATTAGGGATTCAATAGGTTTCAGTAATAATTTCAGAACTCATATTACCACATGCTCTTGTAACTGATATTGCCTAATTAAATGACATATTGGTTAGACTGATGAAGAGTACGTCAAATTTTCAAATAATTGAAGAGAGACAAACCGAGAGAAGAGCATTTGTAAAGTGCTCAAGGACAAAAGAGGAGACTGAGTTGGACTTGCATAAAGAATTTATTTAAAAAGTTGTCTGAAATATTATCCTTGAAACTTCGCCAAAGAGTTGCCGGAGAACTCTGAAATTCACTAGGCCATGCACCAGGGTTGAGTAATAAACAAATAGGCGTCCATCTGCAAGTTGTGATCAGAAAATGGCCACAAATTACACACTCACCGGTGTGTGAGGAATGTGATGCGAGGCCCAAAGGCTCCTGGAGGCTCTAATAGCAGTGCAATTTCTTGTGTAATGTCCCGCATGAGGATTTGGAGCCTTGTGGTGTGCTGCTTTATGGGCAGTCACCAGAAATTTCCAGTGACCTCAAAATAGCGCAGGGATGAATTTTTTTTTCCCTCCTATGTAGCTGGTGATTGCGCAATGAGGACTTGAGGGACTATTTCTCACAGATCATCTGATATCGTGTGAGAATATTAGAGAGATTGGGAAAATGTGTCAAAACCAAATATCTTATGTTAAAAAAATACTCTATATAATGTACACAATGTATTCCACTGATTCGTTCACTAATACATATATATGTATAATGACCAAGATTAATCTAATTAATCTGACATATCAAAACATTTGAAAGATGTTCATACACACAAAACTACGCCAATCAGAAGTTCCAAGCTTAAATTGTACCTTGATTGAGATCTTTCAACTAATTCTCTGCTTTCATATACCGATAATAACATAACATGACATTCACACGGACTCTATGCAATGGCATATACAAGATTTTTGTATAGGGTGTTGTCAAATTCTACCATGAAACGACTCAAGTGAGTTACGCTGCCTCCCTATAAAGGGAAGATTTGTGTGTAAACACATCCATTCTATGTTCAGAGTTGCAGTGCTACACACCATACACAGTGCAATACATATATATTTATCACTAGCAAAGTTGATAGATGAATATCCCAAACATGTCAGAATAAGGGCCGAGTTAGTCAAATTATATATTAATATTGCCCCTACATTGATCTTAATAAGTAAAACATAGACTTCTAGAGGAAAAAGGATTTAAACATATGATGAAATTTTGATTACCGAATAACGCTCTTGCCCCGTTGGCATAACTCGATGCAATGTAGACCTACAAAATGTATGCCAAGCATCAGAAGAATAATACAAAACATATTGCGTTTTGTTACTACTGAATTTGGTAAAATAAGCTTTCAACACAAAAGCAGGCAATATGAAGAATACATCTGCTAATCCCAGGGAAGGATTATCATGTATTAGATATAAAAAAGGACAGAAAGTTTGTACTACCGAAATAAGCAGTTTGTCCACCTCTCCATCATATCTCCAATGTTAACTATGAAAGCCCTGCAGAACAAGAATGGAAAAGAAATTTTCAGCAGTTATGAAATGATTCTACTTCATGTATGGCTCATTATACTACATACTCAAGCCAAGAGGCAGATTAAATGTTGAATAGAGTATATGGGAATGGTGGCGATATGATATAGAAAAATATTGCCCGACACATTTATGATTTGATACTTGAAACAGCTTGGCCCATTATTAAAGCAACTTTCAAAACCTTATCCATAAAAGGAAAAAGGGTATATAGACCTACTCAAGGAGATCAAAAAGACTACGCTAAAAAGAAAAAAGCTCTACTGCTAATACGTCTTTGGAAACATTTTAAAGCAGTTATGTTTGAATAAAAATGATACGAGAAGGTTTGACACTTTGCCTTCTACTCCGACCATTAGCACTTATAGACTGACCAATGTACATACCCACTGAGGTGACGCACATCTTCCCATATCTGAGGTCGGTTGAATTTCTCCCGGCAAACCTGTTAGCTCTAGAACCAGTTAATATAAGCATTCATGAGAATCACAGATTTTGATAAACGAAAATATATTTCACATCAGACGTGCCTGAAGTCCACCAACACCATCTGTAGCTAGAAGAGTTAACATCCCATAGTCTGAATGAGCAGAAGCACCATACACCACTTGTTCAGATAACTGCAACTCGCCTATAGAAAGTTTACATAACGCATTTTATTTAATGATCAAGCAGGAAGCTCACTGTTCAATGTGAATGATTTAAATCAGTTTGCCAAGCACATCGTACCATATTAGTTAAAGGACATACAAGTATTGCATCAGGTGCAGTTATAAAGCATGGAGACATTGACTATGTGAAAAAGAGTGTTCCATTACTATGTCAATTTTTTAATTCACAATGCTTCGTCAACAAAATACGCGTAACCCAAAGAAAGAAAACTAATAGCATAGAAACTGCTATCCACCCTGAAAAAATTGTCTTTGCAGATTCACAAGCATCAATCAACAAATATGTCTCCCCTTTTTCCTCCCATTTCATATCATCTTGAGGTCCTGATCACGATTTTATTTTATTTTTTGTAAAAGAAAAACAGGAAAATAAAAAGTCAAAAAGAAAGATGTCATTTATGGAACTAGTACCTGGATAATGTAACAGACGAAGGAATCCATTTGGTGAATCACATGCCCCTGCTTTATGAAAGAAGTCCTTGTCCAAATCCAATGCCAAAGCAATCAGTGAAATTAGTCTTATACCTGCATCCCTGAGACAAGAAAGTCAAATCAAGTAACCTAGTCATATGCAGAACACTCAGCTGCTAGCAGAAAGATGAAGATCAGTGATAATATGCATCTTGGACAATTAGAACTTTATTTTCTTCTTCTTTTTATTTGTAACTGATGTCCGGATAGCTTGCGTAGAACTCGACTAATTCCGTAGGATACCTGCTACCTCCTACCAGCACAAGGTAGCACAAGGTACCAGGTAACACTGTCCACCAAATTATGGACATATGGGGGGAAAATCACCTAGTGTTTATTCCGGGATTTGAACTTGAAACCTCATGGCTCTCAACTCACTTCATTGACTATTAGGCCACACCCTTGGCTGCTGAGTGATTTGAACATTGAACTTTCAACAGCATCACATAACTTTCAGTTACACAAAACTATGAGCATAGGGAGCTAAGTGATATGAAATACGTACAGGGGTTGGAGTTAAGGTTGTTTATACCATGATTAAGTTTCATGAATAAAGAAATCTAATATCTATTTCAGAATATATATATCAAAGTGATACTCACAAGACTCTTCTATGGTAATCCTCCATGGTTGATCTCCAACTTGGCAGAGTTTCTAAACATCCCAAATGCAATAAAACATTAAAGAGTCACCACACATGTTTTCTGGAGAAATGTGCTTCAAACAAGGAATATGTCTAGAAGCATACGTGAAATGATGCACGAATAAACCAAAAGGAGCATTTGCTGGAAAAAATCTATGTTTCTTGTTACAGGGAAGTTAGTCACCACAATAAAGACGAACAAACCCCAAGAGCCAAAGTATATTAAGGACAAGATAACAATGTAAGCTCAAATAAACATGTAGAGAATACCTTCTTCCGGCCACTGATTCAAGTTACTAACAACACTCTTTCCTTCCAGAGAACCTATGTAGAAGCTTTCTTTTGAGTCACCTGTACTCCAATAATGAAACGATTAACTCAAGATCAATTGAAGCTACCTTCTGTATTATTATCCCCAAATGCAAATCAACTCGAAACTGTAACCAATAAAAGCGTACTAAAGAAAAGTGACAGCAAGGGATAATCTATGCACAAAACCATTCTCCTATGCAATGAGTTATTCTTTTGGTAAACAAGCCCTTGCACATAATCAATGTAGCTTAATCTAGGCTCATGTCAAACTAACTTAACTGATTTACTACATGGTCGAGACCAACTCAACCAAAATGTTTTAATCATATTGTTTCAAAAAAATCCATGTAATTTCAGCCGCAAAATTAAAAGTTCTAAAATAAGTAAGAAACCACTCATTTTCCAAAAAAACACTTTCCTCCATACCAAACGCACCTTTAATAAAGATGATTTATAACCACTCAAAATGTCTATATCTAGTCCTGGACCACTAGTTTTAGAAGTCTTTTTATCGTTCTAAACTCTGTGTCTCGTTAAAGCGAGAGTAATTAATATATAGGCTAAAGTGAAAAAAAAGTACCTTGTGTAGTAGAAGAGGTATCAAGTTTCTCAGCATAAAGGGGAGTATATCCTCTGTGGTTCCTTCGTACCAGTTTCATCTTGTCTTCAAGGGGCAGTGAGAAAAACTTTTTGCTCTGTTCAAGCACTTTCTTAAATAACTTTTCATCTACTCCATGGTTTATTAGGTAAAAGAAACCAACATCTACACATGCCTACACCAAAATTCACAGTGAATATATGTATACCTCTGGCCTTGCAATAAAAAATTGAGATAATGAGAAGAAGAAGAAACCTGACGAATTGCTCGAGCGGTGGAAATAGGATGAGGGGAAGTAAGGTCGATTATGGGAAGTTGAATTGATTCTCTCATCATAACTCTATGCTTTTCTTCAAAATTGAGCACGAAAATTATGCAGGGAACCAATTGACTATTGAATAATTGCTCGAGAGAAATATCCAAAAAACTCCCTTAAATTCCTATTTATACGTGAATTATAAATTTTGATTGTTGAACTTGATACTCTTAAAAATACCTCATACACAAAGAACTTGATAGGCTTAAGAAATTCTTGAACTTGATAGTCTTAAAAATACCTCATACACAAAGAACTTGATAGGCTTAAAATACCTCATACACCTGATGTGGCAGCATAACTCATAAGTGAAATATATCTTTGAATTCAACACTTATTTCTACTTTTTATTGAGAGTTAATATTCCTACAACTTTGAGACCACTTATTTTATCACGTGACAAATTAAGATTTATCTAAATATAATTATTCTAGTATAAAATATTTTTAAAACTATCAATAATTCAAATATAAAATTAATAATTTGCATCAAACAAGATATTTTCAATATTCCTCCTTTTCAAAAATGTTAATGTCCCACAATTATTATGAGAATGAATTTGTCATTTGTCGTGGTAGAATAGATTAATTGAGTAAAAAATTTGTATTTCTTCAAATATGATACACAACAAAGTAAAAAAGGACCTCTCTTTTCAAGTTGTTAATGGATTGGACATTTTGCTTTTGAATATTTGGGAGGATTTATCTGACTTGTGCATCGGTCGGTTCGGTTCGGTTTTATGTATTATTGGTTTGGTTTATCAATTTTTGGTTTTTAAATATGTTAAATCAATAAGATATTTTTTATCAGTTTTCGATTTATCGGTTTAGGTCCTTAACGGTTTGGTTTTCGGTTTAACCAATAAGAAAATACTTATAAAATAAATATATGACTTTTCTAATAAATTTGATGCAAAAACACAATAATGTAACTTTACAAATGCTCATAAAATAGAAACAATAGTAACAAACATGAAAAGAACTATATAAGTGTAACACAAAGAGAAATTAAGAAGAATAGGATTCTTACTTTATATTTTAACATTTTATATAATGTGAAATTGTAAACTCAAAGTCATTGTGAGGTGTGAATTGAAGGCTAAAAGACAGATAATAACTAGTAAGATATCGAGATTAATATATAAAATTTATGTATAAGTAAAAATAGTAAATTACTAGTCTTAATGGGTTATCGGTTTACCCAATAACCCAATATTAAAAACCAATATCAAACCGATAACCCAATAATTTTTTTATAAAACCATTAAAAACCGTTAACCCAATACCCCAATAACAATAAACCATTAACACTTTTATCGATTTGATTTATTGATCTGTTCGAATTTTGCACACCCCTAATCTGACTACGTGAAAATATTAGAAGCATACATATAAAATGAAAGAATTAAGGGGCAAGTATAGTAGATATTCGGGTTTTCTTTTATTTTTTATAAATAATGTATCAAATAATTCTATTCATCAAAACTAAAATAAATCAGAATTAAAATTTGTTCATGTATGATTTAATGAAATTTTAAATAAAGAATATTTTTTTAAAAAAATAAAATTATTCACGCATTTGATGTAAAAAAGAGAATACTTAATATTTTTGACAATAGGTATATTTTGCAGCTCTTAAATAGGAAATGAACAAAGTTACTTAATGAGATGACTAAATCTTTTACATGTTTGGCAAAATACATTTGTTTTCAGAACTCTTACATATATTAATGTTATCCTTAATTTCTTTATAAGATATATTTAAAGAAATGGGTGAGGGAATTACAAGGTGAAGAATCAATCACTTTTCTTCAAGCACTCACCAACAAGACAAAAGTTCAAGTAGTCAACCAACTGAGCTACGACCATTCTCCACCATGTATAAGTTATTACTGTCCTCAACACAACTTTGCTCCCAATCACTAATACACCATCACAAGTTCCTATAATTTTTCACACGAGGATATAACAATGTGCAAAACAATAGTTAAAACAGGGGTACTTGTTAAAGGTTTAACGCTACATTTTTTTTGTATTGTATGAAATCTTGGAACAGTATAAATATATAAGACGAAGCTGACTGCGTGTTGTAAGTGCTGAGAAGTGTAACAATGTCTTTGTATAAGAAAAATCACTCCACCTGCTAGTATTCATTGGCCTGAAAACAGAAATGTGAAGAGCACTCAAATTGGGTCGTTATAAACTAAAGCTGCAGAATCAGTTACATGTAAATGAAGGGAAGGATGGAAAGGCGATTGATGTGATCAGTTGGACATTCATCAACATATTATAGAAACATTCTGAGTCCTAAATCATGGTTAAATACCAAACAGATATGCCACTACAACAGTTTAGGAAAGTCTGCAAAAAGCACTTTGAGAATTCTCATTCTTCACAACTTTAAAGGAGTTTGATTTCTGAATTGAAATTTGAAGCTCTACATAAACCAAATCAAACACAAGATATACCTTAAGACATAATTTCCTTCCTTTCTCTAATGTAGTAAAGGAGAGACAACGAGGTTCAGGGGGTGGCATGCAAAAAGAGCAAGGTTGGTTTTTGAAAGGCAACAACAGATTAGCATTCACAGGTATAAATGTCGAACATACCATAGTTTTGATGCACCTTTGTGAATTTGTGAATGGCTTTTATGAGGGAACCAAATTCCATGGACTTCAAGGTCCCCATATGTCTGCAGCCAAAATGAATGATTTCAGATCCAAAACCCTTTTGAAACATGTACGAAAAATAGTGCATACACGAGAAACATTAGCAAATTTCCAACCAAGATTCTACCTCAAGGAAAATATGGAAAAAAATTCAAACAAGGGCTAACTTTTAACTAGGTTTGTGAAATTGAGAGCATCTTGTACCCTCCCTATCTGATTTGTTGATTACTGATTCCAGATAACCAACAACAAGAAATTCATAAATACAAGCTACAGATGCATGTGTGCTGACATAATTTAACTGTTTGAGACTATACCGCAGTGGCAGTACCTTCAAAGAATCAAAGCAAATGAGGATGGAAATAAAACATAATTTCCAAAGCTAAAACCATTATCTGGAGAATCTGTCATGCCAGACATGAGCAAAAAATGTCAAGTGTTTCTGCATGAATGTACTTACACAATCTCAGTGTATCGGATTCTCCATGCTGGAAAACCCATGTGACATCTCACAGGACCATAAACGAATAAAAGATCAGGCTCTGGTCCCCCATAACCTGTAGGTTTGATAATTTATCACATTTATAGAAAGCCACCATTCAAGCAAAGATGAAAAATTCATATTGATGAATACATCAGGCAAACAGGGGGGAGGAAGATAAATCAACAGACCTACAGCTTGTAGCGCCTCAGACATGTCAGACTCTGTAAAATTCGGCTTTTCTGGTTTTGTGCTAGCATAATGCTTGGCAAAGAGTAAATTAGCTGCTTTGGCTACTGCAGGTTTTGAATCAGCAAAAGAGACAAACTCCAGGTCTACATGCTTCTGGCACAGAAGGGTATCGGCAAAGGAAACAAACTTCAGTCATTAGTGACATATTATGTAAATTTACTTTAAACTGAAACCTTAATGACATTTGCAGTATAGCATATAAACTTAATTTTAACAATATTGGCTCTATATCACTTGCCATCCACCCCCTAACCCCAATATAACCAAAAAGGGGGAGGAAATAGCGTAAAAGTTATATAGAGAATCTGAACTTATTTTATTTATCATTTCTCATTCTTCTTCAAGATCCAGGTTCATAGTCATTAGTCATTACAATTGTAAAATAACACCGGGACAATTCATGAGTTCAAATTGGCATCATTCGCTAAAAAGAAGAGAAAATGTAATTCAAAAGAAAGAATTGGTAACTGTCCTAGGCGCATCTGAAAATAAGACTTAGCAGACACCCTATCACTAGAGAAGATAAAATATACTAAATGAGTGGAAAGGGTTTTGAAGGTCTTTGTTTTTTCTCTGATGGTCTGACCTTACTATTATACATGACATAATGAAAATTACTAGTGATAAAACCTTGAGTAGGTTATTATCATTGGACTAGATAGAGACATCTTTGAAATTAATATATCCTGGATCCAGAAAATATATACAATGTCATTGTCCAGGTGAAAAAATTGTACACCGACCCCTCCTTTGTGCTTTCCGAGAGTCAAGTCTAATATTCTGAAATGAGAAAATTTTAACTCACAGTATTGTTTATATAGTTTTTCATCTCTAACTTCTAAAATGACGAGCTGTCAAATTATTTGCCGAATTCAAGGACATCATGGGAGTAATCCACTATCTTCCATTAATCAGATTCCTTACATTCCTCACAGGTATAATTTCCAACATAAGTCCATCTTTTTCAGCATAACTCAAGCTAGAGCGCATGTCACATAGATTTGCAGGCGGTACTGTCAGGATTTGATTCCCAACAAGAATGATGCTTCACGTGAATAGACCAGGACTTAAATTTTTTAATGAAGATAAAGGTAATGTATACTGAAATGCAAGAAGTAACAGAAACATAAGTCTAAAACTAGCCAGGAACTTGACAATACCTCAACCAAAGTTCCATGATTCGATCCTTCTACAATGGCTTTCTGGGACTTGTTCAATCCTTCTATAATAGCTGTCTGGGACTTTTTCAGCACTCCTACAATAAGCAACGGCTGTGGGAATCATATTTTTAGCAGAGTCTTGTAGATGCATCAGAAAGCACATGAACAAGCTGGTAATTAATATTTTGACGACCTTACCTTCTCTATCATAGAGACAGATGCTTTTTACACCAATAGACGCAAGCCAACACAATAATTCAAGAACTTTTGAAGTTTCACGAGCTTCTTCACTGTCAATCACAACAGCCAGATAGCGCACTTTACTAATGTTAACGGCATTGTAACTCTTTAGCAGCCCACTAGAAATAAGGGTATTCTCAACCATACGAGCTATGCCTAATACAGAGTACCAAACATTGATGATCAAGTGTAAGATGAGCCAGACCAAATGAAGCACAAGGTTACCACACTGAAAAGAAGTCCAAAACCAAAAGTGAGCTAATATAGTGATATCAAGAAAAAATGAACAGTATGCTCCTTTTTAACAAAAATAAATCTTTGAACTACAATTTCCCTATAGCTGATAGCCTAATCACCCAAAGAGGTTAAGAGAGTGACTGAGGAAAGGGACTACTACTTTAGCAATATTGTTTTTTAAATTAAAGAGCTCCGATGTATGCTACATAACTTCCACTGCAACCATAGGTGGGAAGTGTCGAGTCCTT